AAAAAAAAAAAAAAAATCTAAACTTGGCATGAATTATTTTTTGCACCCTAAACTATTCGTGATTTTTATTACTATCCTGAACTTGACAATTTGATAAAAAAAATCGAAACTCTACTTCGGTAGATTATTTTTCAATCATTAATTGCCACATAGTCATATATAAAAATTATTTATTATAATTTTATATTTCTTCTTGCTTCATCTTAATATACAATAGATACTTTACCCTTTTTTTTTATTTTTAAAATTTCTTTTATAGATACAATGTTTATTCATTCCAACTATGTATTCTTTTTCATACCAAGTTTATGAAATATTCGCTAGAACTCTATCATTAATTAATAACAAACATTCTAGCTAAAATAATGCAGTACCAACTTTGTATTTCTTGTTATTTATTCTTTAGATGCAATGATTATTTATTTTTTCTAGAACTATGTATTTTTTCTTTTTCGAGCAAAATCTGTATTTAAAAAAGATCTTGCTTAGAGCTCCATAATTTTTCACTAAACAAATTTTTTCGCCAAAATAATGAATATTAAATATTTCTATTTATATCTTTTTATATGTAATTTTATTTATTTCAACGGTATATTTTTTCTTTTTCAGGTCAAATTTTAAAAAGTTTAATAGAAACTTCATTATTTTTAGCCGAATAAAACAAATTCAACCTAAATAATGGAGTTCTAGCTAAATTTTATTACAAATTTTACCCAAAAAAGATGATGTGATGACCCGATAAGTCATCTTATATTTTAGAACCAGATTCTGTATTTCGAGGTCTCAAAAACCTTATTTTAGCCTTCTTCGATTTGCGTGCGCAGTCCGGGTGTTCTTCCGGAAGGCTTATATGTTAAAAATAAGAATTTTTACCTTAAAAATTAATTTGAGTTGACTTCGGTCAACGTTTTGAGTAAACAGATCTGGATCCGTATTTTGACGGTCCCAGTGGGTCCGTATCGAAATATGGGACCTGGGCGTATGCCCGTAGTCAAATTCGCAGGTCCCTAACTCGAGTTATGAATTTTTGTTGAAAACTAAAAATCTGAAAGTTTAATCATTTTTAAGAATTAATTGAGGTTTGGTTTTGTTGATACCGGGTCCGTATTTTGGTTGCGGAGTCCAGTACAGGTCCACTATGATATTTATGACTTATCTGTCGAATTTTGTGAGAAACGGAGTTGATTTGACGTGATTCAGACGTTCGATTGTAAAAATAGAAGTTTTAAAGTTTTCTTGAAAAATTTCATTTGATTTGGTGTTCGATTCGTAGTTCTAGGCGTTATTTTGGTATTTTTCTCGTGCGAGCGAATTCGTATGATGTTTTAGGATTTGTGTGCATGTATGGTTTGGAACCCCGAGGGCTCGGGTGAGTTTCAGATAGGCTACGGAAGCTTTTTGCACTTAGAAATCTGGTTTTTTGTGCTTCAGCTGATATCTGGTATGTTCTTCTTCGCGTTCGCGAAGGTACTCTCGCGAACGCGAAGAGTGAACTGGGCTGGGGAAGGTTTTTTTCTTCGCGAACGCGAAGCGATGTGGGCCTTACCCTTCGCGAACACGACCAGCTCATCGCGAACGCGTAGCTTTAGGGACCTGGGGGGAAGGGTCAGTCATCTCTTCATCGCGAACGCGACCAGCTCATCGCGAACGCGTAGCTTTAGGGACCTGGGGGGAAGGGTCAGTCATCTCTTCATCGCGAACGCGACCAGCTCATCGCGAACGCGTAGCTTTAGGGACCTGGGGGGAAGGGTCAGTCATCTCTTCATCACGAACGCGAGTACGGGTTCGCGAATGCGAATGCCGGGGGGAGCAGCCTTCGCGAACGCGATGAGGGACTCGTGATCGCGTAAGCCTAAAACGCACTGCTCTTCGCGAATGCGTTAGGATTCACACGAACGCGATGAATACCTGATGCCCAGTTATCAAAAACAGAACCAAAACGGAATTTTACCCATTTTCATAAACTCTCCATTAGAGCTCGACCTAGGTGCGATCTTGAAGGGAAAACTCAACACCAATTTATAGGTTTGTACTCTTTAACTCATTTTCTTTCATTTCTAACATCACCCATTAAATTCCTAGCCCTAATCTTTGTTCTTTCATGGTAGAAAACTAGGGATTTAGGAAGGATTGGGTTTTTTTGTAAATTGGGGATTTAGACCTCAATTTGGGGTCGGATTCTGAAACTAGTTACATAATCGGGCTCGGGGGTGAATGGGTAAATGGATTTTGGTTCGAACCTCGGGTTTTGACCAAGCGGGCCCGGGTATTAACTTTTGTTAACTTTTTCAATAATGGCCTAAATTGAATTCTTTGCAATCGTGGGTAGTTCCTAAGGCTTAATTTGAATCATTTGGTTGATAAATTGCTAGATTCTATTGGTTCGAAGGCTTGTTTGAAAGGAAAAGCTGTGGTTGAGCTTTGAGTTTGGTCTTCGGAGCTACGTAAGTATCGTTGTTAACCTTGACTTGAGGGAATAATATTTGTTTGTTTATTTGCTACATGTTTAAATATTGGGAACAACATATATGTGAGGTGACGAGTACTTATGCGTTGTAGTCGGGTTAAAGCACGCGGGCGGGGCTTGGTTTCTTGCAATTATAGTTTTCTGTGTTCATATTTTCCATGTTTAGACTAGTATTGTTAAATTGACCGTTCTTATCATGTTTACGGATCTTCTGGTGATAATTGAGTATTGATTCCGAAGTTGACGTTGATATTGCAGAACCAAATGTTGAAGTAAGGCTTATACTTTTTATTCTATCTCCCTGTTGTTATTTGTTCATTGTATTATGGTAAGGGAGAGTGTTAATGCACGAAGGGTGATGCCGTGCCATATTGTGAGTGTTAATGCATGAAGGGTGATGCTGTGCCATATTCTAAGTGTTAATGCACTGTAACACTCCGAAAAATTTCGAAGTACTTAAGTGGTAAGCCCGATAAATTTTGCAAAGAAAATAATATTTCATGGTGTCAGACTAGGTTTACGTGTTTGAGGATTGTAGAAAGCTCGCCGCGGCTCGGACTTTTTGGGTTGAACAATGCATCGAAAAGTAAAGAAATTTTTTTGGCGAAAAAGTACATTTCTGCGGTCCATTATGCGACCGCAGAATCACTCTACGGACCGCATAATGGCCACAGAGTGAGGCAGTTAATTGGGCCAATTGGAAGCAATTATGCGGTCGACTATGCGACCGCATAACAGTTATGCGGTGCAATATGCGACCGCATAACGGTTATGCGGACCGCATAGTAACCGCATACACAGACAATTCTTTTGGCTATTTTGTAACCAACTATGCGACCGATATACGGTCCGCATATCGGTTATGCGATCACATACCTTGTTCCGGAGCTCCATTTTTTTGGGTTTTTAAAACTCGACCCTATTTCGTTAAATACACTCTTTGAGTCATTT